CGTTTCTCGAGGGAACGCAAAAGTTTTGCGAGAGAACGCAAAAAATCTGACAAATATTTTTTCCTCCCACCCCAAATTTTTTCACTCAATCGGATTTTTTTCCACCACCATGTCCCTTTAGGGGCTCCGTAAATAAATATATTTAAATTAAATAAATATATTTTCGACCAATAAATGTTTTTTTGTTGTTGAAAATATCTTCAAGACGAACTTTATTTGCTGTCTACGTGTGAAAATATAACACAGTTGACTAAAAAATCAGCAAAGAAAGAACGAAAGGAACGAAATATATTTCCAATTTAAAAACAAAAAATTAATTGAGCTTCACTGTTTACAACATATATTTGGCATATAGTTAAAATATATTGGTCCGGGAAAAAATAGGAGTATAATACTACAAAAGACTTGCACAAAATAAGATAAGCTTGAAGTGGGTCTTAGAAGCGATTTTCACATTTAGATCGAGCAGATGCTCTCTCCGGAATACTTGTATATCCGCCATGTGTTTCTCACCGGACCGGTTTTCATTTCCGCCTAAACATTGCCCTTGGTTTCCTCTAGGAGGTGATATGGAAAGTTGAGTGTCAAAGGGATTCTGACTTTAGACGAGCCTGTTATTTGTCACAATGGGGCTTCTGCCTGACGAGGCGAAAGTTTTGCCTCCTCCGGGGATCGTCAACAGAAACTCAGTGTGGTTCGGGCTGTGCGGCTGGGCGACCGCAATGCTGCACAACAGTTTAAACCGCAGGCCTGCGCTCAAAGCCGGTGAGAACACAGCTACACCAATGCATTTATAATAAACTAAATCTCTAACATCAACACATTGTCGTTTAATTTCATAATAACAACGAAATAATGCGTTCCTCGTTGAGTTTAACGTTACTTACAACAACCCTTACACAAATCAACTGTGGTGGCAACATATATATGGTGCTGAATGAATACCACATTCTTGATATTTACATGGTTACTACATTTTATTATCGAGAGCAGTGGAATTGCTATTGCACTCCTTCTTATCACTTAAGCCAATAATATTGCTAGTGACTGCATATCACTAGCATATAGCACTATGTATCTAACTGACAAAATGTCGTGTAAAATTAATGCAGACATCATACCATTTTTTCAAAAAACATCAACAAATGTAATGCCCCTCACCAGTAAAGATCAGCAAGCATAATTGGATTATGCAAACATGTTTTTGTTTTGTTTTTCAAACAGGTGTTCACCGCCAAGCGCTGTTCATAACTGTTGGATGGTTCATTGGCTATCATCTCACAAAGTTTGAGAATTATAAATATGCCACACTGGACCGGGACATGAGTGAGTACATCCGGCTGCATCCTGAGGAATTTCCAGAGAAAGGTAACAGCACATGGAAATCCAGCCGCATTAGTGTCTTGAGGTTTCCTTTATATTAAAATGATTGTGTATGTTGTTGCTAGAGGTCGACCGATAGTGGATTTTGCCGATACCGATAGCTAGATTGGACCACACTGGCCGATACCGATTAATGAACCGATAGTTTTAAAATTGATACTGAACAAAAACTAAAATAGTGCGTTATTAACAAAAACATTACTGAACCACTAGTAGTAGTAGTAATAATAATAATAATAGTAATAGTAAATGTTCGGTTGACCTCTAGTTGTTGCCACAATACTTTCAATCTTTCAACTATTTTATTTCACTTTCTCAAACCAGCACTGAAGACATTTGCTGAAATCGTGGAGCCTTTTCATCCAATTCGTTGAAAGGATGTACTTGTCACAAAGAATGTGAAGACTATTGTTGCAAATCTGGTTGAACAGACTTTACTGTTATAAACACTCTTATATTGATTTATTAAGTTGTGTCCTCAATGTCATTAAAATGTCTGAAAAAAATATCTGATTTTTTTTTTTTTTTTTTCAATGCACAATTAGTTTTTACATTACCACATTAAGTGAAGTAAACTTCAGCCGATTTCCCGTGTGCAGGGAGCAGAGAACAGTGAACACTATGTAGGGAACATGTCAATCAGAACAGTTCATTCATGGAGCTCGTAACGAGCTGGTTATCTAAATCAGGTGTGAGAGACATGCAAAATATGCAGAGCGGGGGTGTTGCGAGGACTAGGATAGTTGTCATACGGCACGTCTCTGAGGAGGCTGGGAAGCAGGATGGTCTGCTCCATATTGTGCACTGCTGTGCTGTAGCGCCTCAGGGCCAGCAGCAGGGAGCTTCGGCTGAGCTTGGCATCAGCAGACTGCATGGTTGCTCGAGGTGGGTTTCAGGCTTGATTAGATGGTGTAGCAGATTATTTCAGCTAGGCTTCGGCATGGATATTGTTTTACCGATAGCCTGTCTCATGCAATAATGTGCAATCGCAGGACTTTTGCAACACATTCAGTTGCTCTTGGTTTACTTTGGAAGATTTCATCTACTTCTCGTTTGACATAAATTCATATTTAAAAACTGAATTATTCCAGTGAAAGGAGCACGTAATATTATTACAGGACTTCATGTATAGTGTGTCTGTGTACGTCAGGGTTATTAACGTTAACAAAAACTGTTAAAAAAAAATTTGTTTTTGTTAATTGAAATAAACCTGAAATAAAATAAATTATAGATAAATAACTAAAAAGATAAATTAAAACCAGATATGTTACTTTGGCAGCTAACTGAAATAAGTTTAAGATGAAGCACTAAAATTACTAACTGGAAATAACTAAAACTGAAATAAAAACTCTTAATTTAAATAATAATGTTAAAATTACAAAAGCAGAACAAAATTAAAATGTAAACTAAAAATATAAGAATAAACGCCAATTCAAAAGATATTAATAAAATCTAAAATATAGCACTAGTGTACGTACAGTAATTTGGCAATATTACAACAGTTGCCTTTTATTATTGGCTTAAATTTGTTACATCTCGATTTCACAAGCACATGTTCTGGTCATTTTGACTGACATTTTGTGAATTCCTTTTACAATATATGATATGCACATTATGTACAATTGCATCAAGTCAAAGTCTAAGCATTTCAGTTATCTTGTGTATGTAATTTACAAAATTGTGTTCATTAAAAAACAAATCACATAACTTGCACTGCAAACCCTAATATTTAAAGGGAAGCCGTTTGTCTATTTTAAAATGTAGTAATTTCCAAAGGGATTTATAATTGTTCGCTTTCAATCATTACACAGAATGCAAGCTAATAGTACAAGCAGCCAAATGTAATGGACGAAAAACATTAATTTAAATATTAAAGAAGAAATTATTTTAAATACACTTCTAAAACAAAATGATTTTTAATATTTTTTATTGCATGTCACATAGATAGTGACAAGGACGTAAACAGCTTTCCAGGTAATTACAACCTATCCCAACATGGATTTTTACACAAGATGTGCTGAATCCTAACGACTGATGCCAACGATGTCCAAATATTTCTCAGTCAAGTCCTGGGACTTCTTCGTGAGCGTTGCCATGACTGTGAACAGGCCTCGCAGATGGAAATGGAAAAGCGCCTCGAGCTCGGCCTCCAGCAGGGGCTCCAGAACTTTGTGCAGGGTGGCGTGACTCTTGGCCTTGGCGTCGTCATGTGGGATGAGGCCGCTCTCCACCGTGTCCTTGATGGCTTTCAGCAGAAGGTAGTACTCATACAGGTCCAGGCTGTGGTCGGCGGCCTCACAGTCCGGATCGTTGTCATACGGCACGTCTCTGAGGAGGCTGGGAAGCAGGATGGTCTGCTCCATATTGTGCACTGCTGTGCTGTAGTGCCTCAGGGCCAGCAGCAGGGAGCTTCGGCTGAGCTTGGCATCGGCAGACTGCATGGTTGCTCGAGGTGGGTTTCAGGCTTGATTAGATGGTGTAGCAGACGGGGCCTGGATGCAGTGCAAAATCTGAAGAAAGAGGCTCTTTTTATAGCGTGTCTGACAGGGGCTGTGTGGGACAGTTATGCAACATAGTGGCCTGATCTGCTAGTGGTTGAGTTCAGTTAAAGCACCCCCTTTAGCTAAAACACCCCTTATTTCTTTACAGCGTGATATTCTGGCTGCCATGCTGAGATCGAGCAGTTTACTGAAGGACACTGACCCCAGAATGGTGATTTACATCAGACCATCCCTTGTGAAAAAAAA